GCTCTGGCCATTTTCTGGTAAGTCATGGTCTTCCGATTGCCTTTTTTTTTCCCCCAAAGTTCAGCAAGTTTTTCTTTGTTTTTGGATACAAACTGAAAGATGCCTTTGGTTTTATCTACCCACTGAATACAGGAGGCCATCTCAGGATCGCACAGGGACTCATGAAGGTATTCATACAGCCTGAGCTTCTTTCTGCCTGCAAGGGAGAGAAACAACATCAGAACCTCCTCCGAAGGATTTGTGGAGTAACAACAGCATTAAAAGCTGACTTGGCACTGGTTTTCCTCCTCCTTCCCTCCTAGAAATGCATTTATGGCTTAATTTTGTCGGACTTAAATTTTGTCAAAGACCTATTTGGCCTACTGAGGTTGCAACTGGACCTTCTCTTGTGGTGGAAATTGTCCAAAGAATTGCACTGTCTTTTGCCGGAACAGGGAATTCCGGAGCCTCTTTACTTGGGGGCTCCATTTGTTATGTGGTCTTTCTTCTCAGTTAAATCCTGACTTCTCATTTTATGTCATATCTTAAGCTTCCTAGAGAACAAAGCTGAGCGAAATGGAAAGCAAAGTTCAGTATTTTTAAAGAGATGTCTCAAGGGCCTTTTCTAGAAAGCATGACATTTTGAAGGATCCTTATTCAAATGAATTAAAGGATGTAAATGCACTTCGTAACATGGAAAACAGGATGCAAATAAAAAGTGATATTAAGGGAATTATTCATAACAACTTAGGCCAGGATGCCAACTCTGGATTTAGTGGCACAATGACTTGAAAAATATAAATAGAGCCAGGTGCGGTGGTACATGCCTATAATCCCAGCAGCTCCAGAGGCTGAGGCAGGAGAATTGAGAATTCAAGGCCAGCCTAAGCAATAGTGAGACCCTGTCGCAAAATAAAAAATAAAAAGGGCTGGGGATGTGGCTCTGTGGTAGAGCACCCATGGGTTCCATCCCCAGTACAAAAACAAAAACAAAATACATACAGGAGTAGAAATGCAAAAAAAAAAAAAAAAAAAAAAAAATATATATATATATATATATATATATATATATATATATGCCATTATTCAAGAGCAATGACAAAAGGGATTTTGATTTTTTCTGTTGCCATGAAATAAAATGGTACCAAAGTTTTGCACCTTTCATGAAGGCAGCCATTTATATTTCAAAAGAACTTGGCAGGAAAATTTGAGAGAATTTCTTTTTTTTTTGTTTTCCAGCTGATAAGAATTCTTTGGCCTAATAGAAAACTCAGGAAAACAAAAGCCATAGCTTGTTTTGTGACTTATGAATTAGCCTGTAACTATAAGGCTCCCACAGATTCATCAGTTGTTGAAAAAAATCCATGAACAAATTCCATTTTTCCCTTGCGAACGTAGACTACTTGATTCCCAAACTCCTTTAATCAGTCTCTGGGGAGTAAGATTCTTGCATCAGTCATCACTCATCCCAAAGCCACAAACCTTTCACAGAGATTATCATTTGCATTATATTATTTTGAATTGGTGAATTGAGAAATGCAAGGGACTTACCAAAAACACATCATGAATTAAAGTCACAGCACTAAGTAAAACTCTTCTGTCTCTTATCCAGTTATCTTGTTGGTCTTAAGAGATCATTATCTTCTAAAATTAGTTCTCAATTTTTGAAAAATGTATAAATTTTTATTCCTTAAGAAAGGGGGGTGGAAGGCAGGCATGGTGACCACACCTGTATTCCTAGTGACTCTGGACGCTGAGGAAGGAGTCACTAGTTCAAAGCCAACCTCAGCAATTTAGGGAGGCCCTAAGCAACTTAATGAGACCCTGTCTCAAAATAAAAAATAAAAAGGACTGGGGATTTGGTTCAGTAGTTAAATGTTCCTGAGTCCAATCCCCAGTACAAAAATATTTTTTAAAATAAAAATGATCAAAAGTATGAACTGAAACTAAAAATTCTATTTGGTAGATTAAATACCAAATAGGAGAACATGGTGAATTACTTTGGGTATAAACTGAGAAGAAAAGAATGAATAGTTATTCTTTACATRCTTGTGAATAGCTCTAATTACAAAAACTTAAGAGTCATTATTACTTTTGARTTATGGAATTAAATAACTAAATTAAAATAATTAAAATGTATTTTACAGTATTTTTCTGTATCAATACATGCAGAATGCCTTCAAGCCTTTTAATAATTATATATGTTCTACTTTATGGGTCTACAAATTTTCCTTCTAAGAACAAAGACCCAAAATACTTTGTATTTCATCACATTTCAAATGTGTCCCTATTTCGAGTGGAAGACTAAAATCTAAAAACAGAAAACAGTAGGTGATGTATTCCCTAAGGGCACAACTCCACAACACAAAAAATACTGGTTTCACTCCCTAGTGTTTGATTTTGTTTAATTTTATATGTAATTCCTTGCTGGATTAGAGTATTAAGGTATATTTAGAATTTTACGATTCTAGGATATAGTATACTACTGTACAATTTAAAAAATATATGTATTCTTTCAACATTTTTTTAGTTGTTGATGGATCTTTATTTTATTCACTTATTTGTATGTGGTGCTGAGAATTGAACCCAGTGCCTCACACTTGCTAGGCAAGCACTCTACTACTGAGCCACAATCCTAGCCCAAAATATGTATTATTTTAAGCCAAGCATGGTGGTACATACCAGTAATCTCAGAATTCAGGAGGCTTAGGCAGGAAGATTATGATTTCAAAGCTAGCCTCAGCAATTTAGTGAGGCCCTAAATAACTTAATGAGACTGTCTCAATATAAAATATTTTTAAAAGGGCGTTAAGTGGTTAAGTGCCTCTGGGTTAAATCCCTGGTACAAAACAAAAACAACAACGACAACAAAACCCAGGCAATTTAGCTGGACCCTGTCTCAAAATCAAATTTAAAAAGGATATAGGTTAGTATTAGTGCACTTTCCTAGCATGTGTGAGGCCCTGGGTTCAATCCCTTGTATGTTCATTTAAAATAGTGTATAATTTTGGCTGGGCGTGGTGGTGCATGCCTGTAATCCCAGCAACTCAGGAGGCTGAGGCAGGAGGATCACAAGTTCAAGGCCAGCCTCAGCAATTTAGTGAGGTCCCAAGCAATTTAGTGAGACCTTGTCTCCAAATAAAAGGGCTAGGGATGTGGTTCAGTGGTTAAGTGCTCCTGGGCTCAATCCCTGTTATCAATCAATCAATCAGTAATATAATGTATAATTTTAAAAATTGCATGTGCACAGTGGCATACACCTATAATCCCAGCAACTCGGGAGAGTTAAATTATCACTATTGTAATGAGAGAATTTTTCCTTTTATTTTTTATGACATGAAGTTTCCTTATGTTGCCCAGGCTGGTTTCAAACTTCTGGACTCAATCCATCCTCCCACCTCAACTTTCCAAGTACAGAGACTACAGGCTGGCCAAAAGGGAATATTTTGTAAATACAATTTCAAACACAGATACAGAAATCCCTTTAAATCTGTTATGAGGATGACGTGGTTACTGTGCCTATGGAAGGTGTGGTATATCAATTTACCTTTCACTCCCTTTTGCTGGAAGACAACAGGTTCTGCCAACTGATTTCCAGTTATATTCTGCAGAGGTTGATGAATATTACCTTCATAATAGAAGTCTGTAGCACTGTTCTGTGTAAATAATACACAGAATGTTAGTGGGAAGTTCTCCTGTGGCCCCCAATTGGTGGCTAACATCAAAAGCTAAGAGCAAAAAGAATGCTAAGAATCTCCCAAATTCTAAAAGCTGCTGTCCCCAATGGCAGCCAGATAGCGCCCAGTAAAGAATAACATCAAACCAATATAAAGAGAGGACCAAGGGGTGGAGCTTAGTCTTTGGCTTCACCAGGAGAGTTCCATGTCCTCTCTCCCTGGGAGAAAGAGAGGGGATTGTTTCATTCCTTCCCTCTCAGGATGCCCAATGAGAAAGATCAAAAATAATAAGGGCTGGGGCTGGGGCTCAGTGGCAGAGTGCTTGCCTAACATGTGTGAGGTACTGGGTTCGATCCTCAGTACCACATATAAATAAAGAAATAAAATAAAGGTATTGTGTCCATCTACAACTAAAAAAAAATCTAAAAATGTTTTAAATATAAAAAGTTAAGATGGTTAAATATAAAAAGGAAGATGGTTGAGGATTGAACCCAATCCTGCTTCACCACYGAGCCACATCTCCAGCCCTTTAAATTGTTGTTGCTGTTGTTGTTTTGAGACAGGGTCTCACTAAGTTGCTGAGACTGGCCTCTAACTTGTAATTCTCCTGCCTCAGCTTCCAGAGTTGCTGAGATTATAGATGCATGCCACCACACCTGGCAGGAAGATGTTGGCTGCCCATCTGGGCAACAGGAGGATAAAGATGGCAGCCAAGGGAAGGTGGATTCAAGAGAAGGGAGAGGAGGAAGTAGCCCAAACTCCCATTTTACCAAACCCCACACAAGAGGCTGCTCAGGAGACAAGGTGTCCCTAACCACTGGTGGCTGTTCAGCGTATGCGAACACCAGTGGTTTGGAGTTGAGCTGGAAGCACGACAGCCAGATTTAGTAAGTAAAAATATTGGGCATTCTGCATTTTGGCTGGCAACCTTAAATGGAAATAGAAAAGGTTAAAGTTGCAAAGTTAAATGTCCTATGGAAATGTCCTACAGAACAATTTATAGGGACAGAAAAGGGATGTTGGACATACCATAGTTGAAGGTAATGATTGAAGAAAAAAAAAAAAAGATTTTACCTTTAGACCCCACCTTTATTAAGACTGCTTGATAAAACAGCTGCATGAAGAAAACAATGGAAGAGAATAGCAGGACATGCTACATACACTCATGATTCTGGCCACTCAGGAGTCTGAGGCCAAAGAATTGCAAGTAGGAGGCCAGTCTGGAAAACTTAGGAAGAACCTGTCTCAAAATTTAATTTTTTTTTTTAAAGAACTAGGAATGTAGCTCAGTGGTAGAGCACCCTGGATTCAATCCCCAGTGACACACACAAATACCACACACACACACACACAATGTACCACAAATGGAAAGATACTGGGGACATCTCCCTTTGTGTGTGTGTGGGGGTGTTACTAAAATATAATTGAATTGGTCCAATACATGTAACTAGTTCAAGAAAGCAAACAGAGCAAGAGCAAGTTCATACAAGATTATAGGAAAAGCCAGAAGGAGAATGTTGAGCCCAGCCTGGTGGCGTATCGCATGCCTGTCATCATTGCAGCTGAGTTCAAGACCAGCCTCATCAATTTTGTGAAGCCCTAAGCAGTTTATCAAGACCGTGTCCCGTGTCTCAACCTAAAAAAGAAAAAGAAGCCTAGGCTCGGTGGTGCACGCCTGTAATCTCAGCTGCTCAAGAGTTTGAAGCAAGAGGATCACAAGTTTGAGGCCAGCCTCAGCAATTAGCAAGGCCTGAGCAACTCAGGGAGACTCTGTCTCTAAATAAAACATTTTWAAAAGGGCWGGTGATGTGGCTCAGTGACAAAGCACCCTTGCATTCAATTCCCAGTATCCACAAAAAAAAAAAAAAAAAAAAAAAGAAGAAGAAGAGGAAGTTTGGGTCTTGGTCCTGTCTTTTAAAGGAACCAGATGTCTTTGCAATTCTCCAGATGGATGAAGGAGAATCAGTGATATGAGAACTCTAAAAACACCTCCTCTTTACAGAAGTCATTCAAACTAAGAGTAATGACAAAGAGTAGCTTCCTTCTTAACAGCATTGGGGCTGATCCTCCACGTTGACTGTCAAGTTCAGATCACAACTTATGGCCCTTAGTATTTTCATCTTGGATATGTGTCTCCTAACAGCTCATGTGTGAGACAATGCAGAAAGGTTTTAGAGGTGAAATGATTGGTTTAYGATAACTTAACCTAATCAATGATTGGTTTATGATRACTTAACCTAATCAGTGCATTACCCTCCCGATTAGAATCACTTGGGTGGGGCTAGAGAAAGTACTTCATGGAGGGCATGCCTTTGGGGGTTTCAATATGGTGAGCTGAGCTTAATCCTCTCTCTGATTCCTGGTAATGTGATCACTTGATAAAGATACTCACTATCACAGTTCTCCAATTATAGATGGGTTCCTCTGTAGGACACACTCCATAGTAGCTGGAATTTCCTCTGATGTGAGGACAATGGTTAATGAAAGTCAGGTAATTTTTGTAATCTAAGTTAAAAATAGAAACAGAAAGTCCAAATTTACATATATATTTATTTGTATTTATATTTATGTATATGTAGATAGAGGCAGTCAAAGCATACACMTGTGCTTATATATTCAATTACTGTCTCCTGTTTTCTTACCACTTTGTACTTTCCCTATGGTGTTTATTCCATTCTGCAAGAATTATATTTTCTAACACAATCCATTTCCCTTTTTAGAGCAATGTTCCATGTAGCCTGAGACACTGTAATTTCTTTTATCTTGGAAATCTCTTGAAATACCCTGGATAAACCCAACAAGCAACCTATCTGCATCTTATTTAGACTAGATAGTCTGTAGAAAATGTGAGGGGGGAGGAAATACATCTTTTTTCCAAATAGACTATCTGTTGGGTGAGTGAAAGGTGTGTAAGATAAATTAGAACAATTAAAAAGTCTTTCCTGAGTAATTAAAATGTCAATTAGATAAATAAGTCCCAACTAGACATTCTTTTTTATGTATTTTTGCAGTGTTCTACCACGGAGCTACATCCTAAGTTTCTTTAAGTTTTTTAAAGTTTGAGCCTGGCACAGTGGTGCATRCCTRTCATCTCAGTGACTAGGAAGGCTGAGGCAGGAGGATTGCCTCAGAGCTGGAGATGTAGCTCAGTGGCTCAGAGGCCCCCATCTGGCCTCCCCAGTAAAAGGAATTATAATACACCAGTCATTCTTAAAAATAAATCATTTTATGTATTTGTATTCTTATGTGGAATGTCATTCTCTATATCTCTGCATTTTTGTATGTGAGACTTGAAATTTAGTTAGCCTAAATAACCCAGGATATGTTTTGCATTCATTAAAATTAATCCTAGGTGCTTTAGATGAAAATTGTGTCCCCCAGTTGTGGGCACAGTTCAGTAGTAGAGCATTTTCCCAGTTTGTGGGAGGCCCTGGGTTTGATCTTTAGCAGTGTAAAATCATTATTGTCATCATCATCATTTCTGGGCTGTTTTTGTTGGTTTTTGTGATGCTGTAGCTCATATTCAAGGCCTCGTAGATGCTAGGTAAGTGCTCTACCACTGACGTACCCCCTGATCATTATTCTTATTCTTACATATGTATGTGACCAACCAGCCACATGACCTACCAGCAGAAGAGAGTAAGTACTTATCTTTACCTGGGGTGTGTTGAAGATCTCCTGTTGAATGATGCCTTAGTACTTCGATAGCGTCTTCAAAGGCTTGACCTAGCTTGTCTTGCTCAACAGAAGTCTGTTGGAACGATGGCAGAATGTTGGAGTTGAAATTACCCATGAAGTTAATTTTCCTGATACAAAATAGTATTTTCAATCTCTACATTATTGATATTTGGACTTGGCKGTCTTTGTTGTGGGGGGCCTGTCCTGTGCAGAGGATGTTTAGAAGCATGTGTCCCTCTCTRTGCACTGGAGCCAGTGGCAATCAAAACCATCTCAGTCACATGTGGTGGTGAAAACCTGCAATCTCAGTGACTCGGAGCAGGATGATTGCAGGTTTCAGGCCAGCCTCAGCAA